ATCGCTAACTCCATTAAGTTTAATTGTGTCACATATTTCCAAAAAGGTAGACAAATGGGAATTAGGATTTTTAGTAGCATTACCTCCATATTGAGATTATTGCACCATTTGAATTAGTTCAGGTTTAATTTTCAAATTATTAGCATTTACCATGGGTCAATGCTAGTTTGTAGTTTATTCCTTCCAGGCAATGCAAAGTCTGTTAAAGGTCGTCTATTCCCTTCTATCTGCCATTGTATTAATTGGAGGAATTTTGACGAAAGTTTCACCTTCATCTTGTGTCTCCTTGATGTCTTGCAGTGTTTGCCCTCTTCGTCTCCGTAGAGTTCTTTTGATTTCAAGATCCTATCAGACCATTCCACATAGAACTCGGTGCATGCACTGCTGTAATCATAATTAAAGAGAAATTAACCACAAACTAAACAAACTAGATGAAATAAAATCTACTCTATCAATAATTAAAAGATATTCACAAATTACTACAATGTCTAGAGTAATAAAGATTGTTTTAGCTCTAATATTGCCATGGTTCCCTGACAACAATGCCAAAACTTGACGAGGTGTATACCTGTGCTCGAATTTTAAATCTAATCTTCTCGTTAACCCAAAGTGCACGGGTTGTGAATCGTAGTACAAGGAAAGGGAGTCGAATCCCACGAGAACCACTTTTGAATTACTAAGGCTTAATCACACTCTCTATTAGCTAGACTACACAATAATTAATCATCATTAAACAACAATAATGATAAAACAATTCAAAAGTTAACAATCTAAATTGGAGTAACTCAAATAACACAAGTGTTCTAGGGAATAGAATCCACTAATCATGGTCAAACATAGAAGAAACAATCAATTAATACTACTTTTCTTGTTTTGCTAGGGATGCATTTCACTAAGGCAATCGGAACTCATTTTTGCCGATGAACCGAAGTTAGCTAATACCTAAGTTTCCTTACTTTCGTGGTGAAATCTCAAGTATCAACTAGATCAAGGACAAGAAATGTCATACAAGTCCACCCAAGTGCACCACTACTTTCGTGTGTCTACTCTTTAAGTCCCACTCATTCATTTTCCATCATTGTCAACTATTTTCATAGATTAACAACAAATAAGATGACTTGCAAATGATGATCAAGCACTTACAAGTGTTAAAGCATGAGCAAGTACAAGATATAGTAATAATCAAGATCTAACCATAATCAAAGCATAAATAGCTTCATCTACCCCTAGAACAAGAAGATCTAGTTACACATAGTGTATTTCACAATAAAGCTCACAACTTCTATGGAACCAAACATTCTTTAAAGCAAATAAAGAGAAAAGGGATGAGCAATTACTACCCCTAGAACAAGAAGATCTAGTTACACATAGTGTATTTCACAATAAAGCTCATAACTTCTATGGAACCAAACATTCTTTAAAGCAAATAAAGAGAAAAGGGAGAAGCAATTACTCATTCAAATGAAGAAACAAGATCTCCAAATTTCATCAACTTCATAACCAACCAAATATTTGATTACATCATGTGTTCTTCAAGGTTCTCTAAGGAAATAAGAAAGATAGACAAAACACTAAAACTAGTGAGAAAACTAAAGAAAACCCTACTTTCTTCTTTTTAACTTCTATCTCTAAGCTTTTCCTCCCTTTGATTCCTTATGTTTTACATATACTCCTTAGTTCCTTTTCCTTTTCTTCCCAAAAAGCCCTTCATTGGAATCTCCACTATTCTTTCTTCAAATGTCCAAGTTGCTTTGTTAGCTTTCCAACCAAAATTCCTTGTGAGACAAGAGTCAAAAACCAAGTGTGAAATCTGCATAAGTTGTTCTACAAATTGCAAAAGAGAGAGGTAGATCCGAGCCCTAGGATCCAAAGGGTATCCAACTGATTCGAACTCGAATGTAAGATTTCTTCATTTTTTTTACGTATTTTGCATGCAAGATCCGAGGCCTCTCTAAAAGGGATCTGAGCTTGAATCATGGCCTCGAATACAACCCTGATTACAAAAGTATATCCGAGCTCAGATCCTTGCTCTCTTGCTCCAATCCGAGTTCGGATCCAGCTCCCCTGTTTCTAGCTTCAACTTTCTTCCTTTGTTGCACAAATTTCTCTTCTTGTCTCACTTATGCATTATCCTCCAAGAAGTACATTGCATCTTCTTTAATTCAAACAATTGCTTCATGCACCAATAACTTATAAACACCACAAATTTATGTATTAATCCACTCATTTCACACATTTAGTTCAATAAGCGATACTTGAAGAAATTTCACCAAAAAGGACTAAAAATTCGCTGTGGTCCCTTAAAAACACACCAATAACTTGCATGTAACCATGCAAAACACCTTTGAAATATTCACTTATCAATGGTGTCACGCGAACCTTAACCTCTACTCATGATTAGATTAAGCATGTCATCTGTCTAATGCACAGTTGCATGTCACTTTTGAGCTTAATACAACTCAAAAATTATGTTCATGTTGATTCGGCATAAACACGAAATTAAAATCAAGATAGACAAATCCTAGCAAAAGTTAAGAAGTTAAACTAGAAAAATTAATCAATTTCCTTCATAAAGACCCTAATCCTAGAAGTGAATTAGTTAAACATGATGGAAAAAAATTAAAACCACAAATTCAATGTTTTAATATAAAGATAAGAATAAGAGAAAGCAACTTCTCAATTGCACATTCCAATCTTCTCTTTGCACACTTCTTGATTCGCATGAGTTCGATCTTGATCTCTTAAGAAAATCTATGAAAATATGTTTTAAACTAAGTTAAGCTTATGTTTTCCAACCCTAATTGTTCCAAAGATCTCTTATTTATAGCTACTACATGTTACCATTGAATCCCAGCTGGAATAGGTTTCTTAGAGCTGAAAAAAGAAGTGCATGATAATAATCCGATGATAAACGACGCCAATCATGACACCGGTCATTGCTTTGCATTATTCAAATTCCAACTTCTGGTGATGTCTGGCATGATGTCTAGTCCAATGACCAGCACCGATCATCATACTTCAGTTCTTCATTTTGCATTTCAGCTAGGGGTATAAACAAATCGAGCTGCTCGCGATCGGGCGGCTCAAATACGAGTTCGAGTCAAATTCGATCAATATCGAGTTCGAGTTGAGTTCGAGGTAATTAAGTCAAATTCGAGCTCAAAAATATTAAATTCGTTAACTCGCGAACGACTCGCGAGCTCGATTATATATATTTTTTATTTTAATAATAAAATTACATATATATCCCTAATATTTTATTATTTGTTAATAAAAATTATTATTTTATTTATTTTTAAAAGTAAAATAATTATTTTTTATTTTGTAAAAATAAAATAATTATTTTATTTAATTATTTTCCCTAATAATTATTACATCCCTAATAATTTTTTTTTCTTATGGTTGACAAAATGAAATAATTGAAAACAGTAGTTAACCCTCATTTTGTTTAAGTTGTCAAAGATGGGCCATCGTGTATTCGACTTTTGATAAAAAAATTATTAACTAAATTGCTGGAAATGGTCCATCATGAATTGCTTAACAAAGTTGGGTGAGGAATTTCATAAGGTGTGAATATTTAGCATGAAAAGCTAATTTATGTGCCACCTTATTGGCATCCCTAGGAACCCATTTTACAACAACAATTTTTGCTTCTAACATGGACAGCCGAATATTCTCAATTGTAGGACCACTGGCTGATAGCACCTCTTCCTCGTCATGCAAGTGGTTAATACCATTAAGTGTGTAATTAAGAATTCTTACATTTTTAATCAAGTCAATTGCCTCACGAATTGCAACTACCTTATCTATCTCAATATCTATCAGGCCATCTAAACAGATAATCCCACGACAAAGTGCCCATCATGACCCATAAATAATTCTCATCGTGTATTAGAGTTGACGTATTAAATAATTCTTTAGTTCAATTATTGATTTATAATTAATTGGAACAAAAGTAATTAATTATAATTTAGTTCCTGCAAAGAACAAGATGCTGCCTTAATGAAATGTAAAAAGGCTAACAACCATTGATGAACTAACAAAATATAAACACATATTTGCTAAACAAAAGGTTATTTTGAAAACAGAATTAACCATTTTCTTATTTTCCAAGTTGTCAATGGTGGGCCATCCATCATCTATAGACTTAACATAATGAAAAAATATTCAGTTCAGTCATTAGCAAACAACAAGCTGGAAGAAAACTAATCTTAGGTTTAGTCCATGCAGAGAAAGAGAGTCATCTTCATGAAATGTTTGGAGGCCATAACAACTATTGATGAACCATAAAAAACAGAATTATTTTTGTTTCTAGCTAAACAAAAGAGATCACAGAAACCAAACAAAAATACGCAAGGCTAGAGGTGAGAATGGACCTGAGTATAGTAAAATACGATACAATACAATTCGTAAAATGAAATTTTGAGTTTTTTTTTTATTTTTGAAAATTTGAACCAATTTCATCTCTTGAATCATCAAAATCAAATTGATGTCCATTTCAATGTAAAATCAATTTCGATATTAAAATAAAAAGCTATTAATCGCACATGCAGTAAGTCAGAGAAAACAACAAAATCTAATGGATAGACACAAAAAGACTTGAAGTCAATGGTGATTGGGGAAAGTTAAAATAAAAAGCATCCGTAAAGCAAGTTGCATTTCTTGTAAAGGAGAAAATATGGTCATGCAGACAAAATTGAATATGAAGCTTATCCACAAAAAGTGATGCAGACAAAATTTGACAACGAAGCTGTCCACCGAAAGCGAAAGACAGCAACACCAGACCAATTAAAGAAATATGGGGTTAATTATACTATATACCTTGTAATTTGTTGATAGTCACATTTGATCTCTTAGATATATACACTTTACCCCTACAAAGAAAGAGCAAAGTGCCACAAATCTCCACGATCTATTGTTTTAAATACATTGAAACCTTTTGGGAGTAGCAACTGATTGATTTGGATACAAGTGATCCTCAATTGAGGGGAAAAGCAAAACACTTGTGGCAGATGATTTGTCCACCACAAGAATGAAAAATATTGTGTTTGGATAATAGATTATTTGAAATAAATTTTTAAAAATAATATTATAATATTTTCTTGATGTGATTTATGTGATATAAAAAGATGATGGTTGAAAAATATGTTAATGATATCTTTATTAATCAAAATTGCCGATGATGGACCTTAAAATCTCTAGCCTTACAGCGTTGACTCCGACACTCAATCATTTCACCAAGTCTTAGCCACTTAGCAGTTTTCTGCAAAGGAATTTGGAATGGAATCCTCGAGTACCTCGGCGAGCAATCTGCTGCGCAATATTGGTTCAGCACAATAGACCGGCAATCTGCTTCAAGTTCAGGTGTGTGTGCATGCTTTTTGAGATTCAGCTTAACATTTTTTACTTCTATCTTTCCAAATGCTGTTGCTTGATTCTTTGATTCCGTATAATTAGTACTTTAAAAGCTCTCATATATTGTGGCTTCAACTCCTGCTGGGTGCTTTTAATTATCTTTAGCGGTGGAGTCAACTGCCTGTCCTCTTGGTCTACCGTACCTCAGATTGCTGGTTAGGCAATTATGAGGGATTCGGGACTCTAATTGTACTCACAAATCTAATCGTAGCATCGAATTAATCAGTAGTTGTTCAAATTTATCTTTCAAAATAAAAAGAAAATACTAAAATTCGAAAGGAGCAGTTTAGATTGAATCCTATTACTTACTAGCAACCCGATATGGACTGCGCGTCGCTATTTGCAGTTGAACCGCTGACTGTACTCAGTCCAGTTCATGTACATATACTTACTTTCTTACGGTGGAAATTGGTAAACCTCAAAGCCTTCTAACCCAGAAACTAAGGAGACGGCAAAGTGGTACACCAATTGTTGCAATTTCTTTTTGTCAGTGTTCTGATCAGGAGTGCATTGGATCAGGAGTGCTAATCGATCGTTTCCATTGAGGCAAATTTTCAATCTCTTTCTTCAATGGTAAACAAAAGTTTCTCCATCTAATCAATTGTTTTTTGGTTGAAAATTTGTTTGGTAATTAAAGCAGAAGTGTTGAAAGACCAGTCAAACTAGTACGTAGGAGATTGTAGGGTATATAGAGGTTGCCTTTCTTTTCTTGTGGGATTGATTTCTTTTGATTCTTAGCTATCAATTATTACGTAGAATAAGTAAGTCTAGACTTTGATGATGATGGCTTCTAATAATAGTTCTTCACTTCTTTTGATCAATGGCGAGAGCGTTCTTAGACCAGCAATTACAGAGCAATGGAGAAAGTGTTCTTTATGGTGTCGATTCTGAAGTAGAAAAGCTTTGTAGTATACTGAGAGCTTCATTATCAGTTGTTTGATAAGAAATGAAATCGTACTTAGACAGGGACTTAAACTGGACAGAGGATCCGAAGCCGCGAGCCTTTGATCCGAAGCAAAAGTTTATCGGGTATTTCAGGCTGGAAGATAACTCGAATGGGGAAGCAATCATAGGCTGGAATGGGTGGGGATCGGGGAGGGAGCAGCCCGGTGCATACATATGGAGCGTAGACCGGAAGGTGTCCCATTAATTTTCCTTTTTTTTTTTTTTAATTTTTATTCATAATCATTGAGGACTTCAAGTCTACAAAATGAAAAAAAGAAAAGAAAAGAAGTTAAGAGTCGAATTAGGGATTTAATGGTCACCTATAGGCGTGTTAATGGGTAGGGTCTGAGTTAGATCCTTTTGATCCATATTCAAACCCATTAAATTTAGTTAGACTTACACCCAAATCCAAACCCTTATCAGTCTGAAAAAATTAGTTTAAATCCAGACCCTCTTGGATCTAGGTATCTAATGGGTATCTATTGTATTTTATAAACGCACTAAAATAAAAATATATTAAAAGTATATAGATTTCAAAAAATATATATACACACCATCCAAATTTTATTTTCAAATAATAAAATTAATATTCAAGAAGTTAAATGTAATATTATGAACTCAAAAAAATAACTACTATCAACTGCTTCTATTTATTTTTGAAACTTCAACTGTATCTACATCAAATCTTTCATTTATTTGCCTTTACTTTTTCTCCTTTTTCTGAAAAGGTTTGTACTAATTACAATGACAACCAAGATTAGGTTAAAAAAAGAAAACAATTATAAAGTCTTACTATATTTGATTCAATAATCATAGAATATTAGCCTATTCTATAAATTTACAAATACATATATATAATTTAATAATATATACATGAGATTGGGTAGAGTCTTGTATGGGTTTGGATTTTGATATAGATTATAGAAAATCAGACCCACCCAAATCCATAACGTCTGAATTTGGATAGGATTTGGATTTAATTTCTCAAATCCAAACCCTACCCAAGTACATTGGGTTTGGATTGAATTTGGGTAAAAGCCGATCCATTGACATCATGCCTAATCACCTATCTAATATCTCTACTAACTAAATTGGGTTTTGGGAACGTTCCTTTCCTTTCATTGGTACTTAGTTCTAGAAACCAACTTTGTTGATGTGTAGTTTGATTAAGTAAAACAGAATGATCTTTGCAATACTCTAATCGACTCAAACCAAAAAAAAAAAAAAAAAAGATTCAGAGGAGTATATAAAGACATTAGAAATGAAATAAGTGAGTAGTTTTATTTCACAAATCTAATGTACAGAAGTGTCGACGTCATTTTTGTTTTTTATATGTATTCGAAGAAACTTTTACCTGGTCAAAATGCCTATTACGTTGGTTAGGGGCTAAGTGTAACTAAAGTGGATTCAAGAAGGTAATGTGCAAGTAACTAATTCAGGAGCTTAAGATAAAAGAATGACTGCAAAATATTTCTCTTCTAAACAAGAAAAGGGAAAAGTGGCATGAATGCTAGGGCAAAAGAAAGTGTATGTGTTTGTGCTAGTAAAAATGTATTTGTTGGCAAAATCAATGTGCAATCTTATACGTAAATTCTATATATGTGGAAGTAGATTTTCTATCTAAGGTCATGTAAACTAATTAGAAAAAATTAATGGATTAAATTATCACTTGATTATAAAGTTCAATGATTCAATACATTCTAACATCGTATTCTAAAATTTATTTAAAAGAATAAGACTCTACTTGTCACCTAACTTCCCTCCCCCCAATAGCTTAGTGTATGGGTAAAATTTCAAATTTCCACACAACAATGGATTTGTCAAATAAAATTGGATAAGAAATGTAACTTTAATTAGGAATAACACCTTAAATAATTACCTAGCGAAACAAAAATACAAACAATCTACAACACCGAAATATGTTCTGCATGTATATATATATATATATATATATAAGAGCTATATATATACCCGTGCTGGGACTGATGTTTGGAATCATTGAAAAGTCCCAGCCTAGGATTGCTCAGGATAAATTTGCAGTTTGCAGGATGCCAGTTCTGCCGCCAGTTCAAAATATAAAACATATTTGCTAAACAAAAGGTTATTTTGAAAACAGAATTAACCATTGTCTTATTTCCAAGTTGCCAATGGTGGGCCATCATCTATAGACTTAAGCAATGAAGAATTAGTTAGTTCAATCATTCGCTAACAAGAAATTGGAAGAAAACTAATCTTTGATTTAGTCCATGCAGAGAAAGAGAGTCATCTTCATGAAATGTTTGACGGTCGTAATAACCATTGATGAACCATCAAAAACAGAATCATGTTTATTCTAACTAAACAAAAGAGATCATAGAAAACCCAACCAAACCAAAATACGCAAGGCTAGAGGTGAGAATAGATCTGAATACAGCAAAACATGATATAATACAATTGGTAAAATTGAAATTTTGAGTTTTTTTTTTTGAAAATTTGAACCAATTTCATCTCTTGATTCATCAAACATCAAATTGATGTCCATTTCAAAGTAAAATCAATTTCGATATTAAAATAAAAAACTATTAATCGTACATGCAATAGGTCAAAGGAAACTACAAAATCTAATGGATACAAAAAGACTTGAAGTCAATGGTGATTGTAGAAATTTTTTTTTAAAAAAAAGCATCAGTAAAGCAAGTTGCAGTTCTTGTAAAAGAGGTACACGGGTGACGAGAAAAATATAATGATACTTTTTGATTAACCATTAACAAAGGAAAAGAAAAAGAAAAAAATTTAAAGAGCTAGATGAAACAAGAATGGGAGTCAGAAGGGCTAGTTCAGATACTGTCAATCTGTCAATCTATTTTAATCAAAGATGCTGATGATGAACCTTAATCTCTCTAGGCTTATAGTGTTGACTCCAAGATTCAATCGTTTCACCCAAGTCCCAACTTCTTAGCAGTTTTCTGCGAAGGATTTTCGAAGGGAATCCTTGAGTACCTCGGCCTGCAATGTGCTGCGGACTATTGCTGGGTTCAGCACAATAGTTCGGCTTTTCAGGAGAAATCTGCATCAAAGTTCAGGTGTGTGTGCATGCTTGTTGAGATTCAGCTTAACATTACTGTTTCTGTCTATCTTTCCAAATACTCTGTTGCTTAATCTTTAATTCCGTAGCGTGGTGTAGAACTAGCTAGTACTTTTTTAAATATCTCACATATTGTACCTTCATCTTTAGCTGGGTGCTTTTATTTATCTTTAGGCGTGGAGTCAACTGCCTGTCTTCCCTGGTCTATCTGAGATTGCTTATTCTTTTTCAATAGGAAAGATCATTTCATTCAATAAATTTGTATTAATATCAAAAATACATCAAATCAAATATAATATAAATATATATAAATCTGAAATCAATAAACAATAGATCTAAAAAATCACTATAGATTTGTAGTTGGGCAATTATGAGGGATTTGGGACTGTAATTGTAGTCACAATATAATCAGAGCGTTGACTTAAACAGTGTTGCTCAAATTTATCTTTCAAATAAAAAGAAAAAACTAGAATTTGAAATGTGCAGTTTAGATTGAATCCTACTAGTAGCAGCCCAGTCTACCTTGGTGAATTTATATTCCTTGCAAATACAACATGCATATGAATCCGTGTTGGCACGAAAAATCCCCGTGCAAACAGCGGAAGCAATTCTAATGCATATAAAAAATATATGGAAAGAGAATGAGAACAAACAGTCAATAATTTATTTAACTCAAAACAAATATTAAGTCGTAGCTTTTCGCTCACGACAATTCACAAATCTTAACTATGAGATTTTCTCTCAAGTCTAATCTCTAGATTCAACTCAACTCTCCACATCTCTTCACTTAATAACCTACTAGACTAGTAGTATTTATAGACTCTAAAATTTCCTAAAATAAATATAATTGTAAACCAAAACTTATTTGAAAATTGACTTGAGATTTCCTAATCTAATATGTAAACTAAACAAATAACATACCAAAAGGAATTAGGAAATTAAATACTAAAATAGCTTGGTTTAATTTCCTTCATTGCCTCCTTTAAACCAAGCTCTTAATATTGTCATCTCCAATGCCATCACGGGCTTGAATCTCCATAAAAAATTCAGTCACAGTATAAACAACATTCAACACCAACCTCCAATAGATCTCCTGTAGACGGAGGGCCTCCTTATGCCAGCCTTCCTTGCTCTGCCTTATGTGTTCCCTCGACACTATTAACTTAGAGATCTCGTGCATTTGGTCAACTATTCGATCAGCCAACGCAGTAGCCTTCCTAGCTCTATCCATGGCTCGCTCTAACTCCTCGAGATACACGTCCCTATAGAATTTCAATCTCTTCCTAAGGCAAGTCACATCATAACCCGTCACATAAACTGGGCAGTCGCAATCTTGATGCTCCCTATGTACCAGCTCGACCATTTCCTACAGGTAAAAAGGAACACTATTAGTAATGATTTCAGCCTCTCCAAGGTACACAGATCCTTTCAAGCCTAATCTTCTAGTAGCTACCGATCATTTCTTAATATGTTCTATCTCATGGCGTTTTTCATAACCTGGCTCTGATACTACTAAAAATGTCATGCCCCTAGTCCGCACGTACCAGTCATGTAACATCCACCGTATCCTCAAGTTACAATCAAGAATACAAGGCAACATTAAGCTAGACTAAACTTAGAAAGTACTAAATAGTATAACTAAATAAAGTGTTGTATAAATTTCAAATGAAAGGTAATCAATGAGTATCTCATAAGTTCGTACATTTATTCTCTAGTCCAAACAACGGGAAGAGAAATTAAATAAAACTAACAGCTAAAAGCATCTAGATTGCTAATTCTTATCCACTTAGAGCTAATAAAAATCATCCTCAGAGTCTTCTACGTAAATCAACTCATACTTTTCAGAATCTGCAAAAGTGGTAAAAATTGGGTTGAACGACAAATCGCTCAATAGGTAGTATCTACTCCTCTGTTGGACCATGCAACCATAACTTTATATACACGAACATATATATATATATATATACATACATATCAAATTATTTGCACATCATTCACATCCATATTTATTGAAAAATAACGTTATTTGTAAAACAATCAGTAATAATGAGTGACACAACAGTTGATAAACATCTTATTCATAAATATACATGAAAGTATTAAAGTCATAAGTCATTTCATATCAACTTATAATAAGTACATACAATGATTGGCTTCTGAGTACTCAGTCTAGAGATTAAATTTCTTCTATATGGACAACCAATAGGTTTCATGACTACTGATTGGTTTCATCAATACATGGGTCAATCGGCCGAATTCTATACCGAACTATCATGATCTTGTCAATCGGCCGGACTCTATACCAGGCTACCATGACTATTAGGCAGGACTATAGCCCCTACTATCTATTTGATGACTATTTTGAGTTTTACTTGATACAGAGTCATTTCACACGTCACATGCATAGTTTCTTGCATAACATATCAAAATATTTCAAATAAGTCACATGGTCCATCTTTGTATAGCAAAAATAAAATTTGCATAAATACTTAAGTAGATCATTTAATCAAGTACATTTCAAGTTAACACATCAAAATATGATTAACAATAAAAATTTCATTATGAATTTTTGAAATCTCAGAAGGGTAAGTACCACCTACCTTTGTCTGGCTGTTCGAGTAGAACCACCTTAGATCTTTTAAACTTATGTCATACCTATCAAATGCATAGGTTTCCTAATTAGTTGATATTCCTTATAGATGCATAAATATATAAACTCTGAGCAAGTTTAAGATTCAGGTCTAGACCATTATATGAACCCTAGCAAAGTTTGTCTAAATTGAAAAGTTTCTATTTTTGGAAAGTTTTCTAAATTGGAAAGTTTCTTAATTTGGAAAGCTTCCTCTTTTTTTTTTTTTTTGTAAACTTTCCTAATTTAAAAATAATTATTCAAAATAATATTTATTGCCTTGACTATTATCTTACAATACATATACATTTATTATTATTATTATTATTATCATTATTATTATTGTCCTTAACGGCACTATTTCATTTTATTTTCATTCATTTATATACATATATATACATATATTGGCTAATTAGTTATTATTATCTTTTGTTCTATTTTCATTTTTGTACTTATGTATGTATTATTATTATTCATGTATATACGTATGTATAGTTATTGGATAATTTCGCAAACCTCCCCTAAAGTTTTTAATAATTGAAGAGAGCTCCACCAGGTTTTAAAAATTACATATACCTCCCCTATTTTACTATTTATATAACAATATTGGTCCAACAAACTAAATTTTCTTTCAAAAATCCTTAATTGCCCTTTTCTACAAAAGTAAGAAAGAAAAATATAGTATTCAATCATTTTTTCCACACTTTGCACAAATCGACAAACCTGATCTCTAGCAACCATCCAACCATAAACTCCAAATCTAAGTAGCTGTCCAACATATCTCAAATTGCATATACAACATTGATGCTTGCCATGCTAAAAAATAAAAATACAAAAAATACACACACATATCATTGACAACCAATTTTATACCCCAAAATTAATCTTAATACCCAAATACCTTTTCAATGCAAGCTCATCTAGTCTAAAACCACCATTACAACTCTTTTATGACCTTAAAAATATTAATACCTCAAAAACAGAGAATAAATTTTACCTCCACAATAAAATCATAACAAAAAATTTCTCATCCAATGAAAGAAATCCTCATGCAATTATTGGCATTTTACAAAAATTTTTCTTGACAATAGGCAAAATATGACTAATTCCACATCTTTGGTTCTTCTTCCTATTTCAATAATCAATTTCATTATTAATGCAAGCCTCTTCATTTCTTTCTAGTTCGATACATAATTTGCACCCTCTGTCAATTTTGCAATTTCAATTTACTAATATCCATAAAATAGAAGATAACAAAAAAGGTATAGTATATTAACTAGAAAAGAAAGGAGCAAAAATAGACAAGAGATAAAAAAATAGAATTTGTTTGGGTTTTGTAAATCAATTGTTTTAAATTGAGAATTGTCTACCAAGTGAAGGGCATTTTAGGTACTTTACTATGCCAGGGGAGGTAAGTGTAATTTCTTAAATCTAAGGAGAGTCGAGTGAAGTTATGTGAAACCTCAAGGGAGGTTTCTGAAATTATCCCATAGTTATTTACCATTACAATTATTATCTTAACTTATTCCACTTTTATTTATATTTTATCTTATTCTCGTTTATATCCTTAATTTATTTCATCCATATTTATATTACTACTACTACTACTACTACTATTTTAAACGTTTCGTTTAACAATCTAGGACTTATCTTACATTGTATAAGTTTATCTAATAAGGCTAGATTAAGATATTTTAGATTTCTATTTAAGTATCTTAGCCTTAATTATTTAAGCATAAGTCTAAATGTCTAAATCCTTGAAGCCTATAATTATTTACGTTGGGTTTTGAAGTTTAATACCTATGACAATCTATAGAAGATGACCTAGTTATATCTAAAATTTATCTATTGGACATTCACTAAGCACATACTATATTTTTTACCCAAATATACTTGCCATTTTTTTATAATGGCCCAATGCCCTTAAACCCAAACATTCTCATGTTTTACCCTAGTTTTAACGCAACGCTCCTATATGCTTGGCCCAAGATCCAATTAAACAAACCCACACATATAGCTAATTAATTTTGATCCAACTCATTTCCTTCGTACCTGACCTGCAAGAACTACCCGATTCATTAATCCATCAATTAGCGGGTCATCTCCTTCCTTATATATATATAAAATTTTTTTCCAAATTCTATTAGTATTATCATTATTTTTATTATTCATAATTTTTCCTTCTTTTGGTCGGCCCTTTGGCTGCCCTTCTAACTAGTTAAGAGAGGAGGGTCTGATGACCCTCATTTGCTATCTTTTTTTTTCCCCTTTGGCTGGCCTCTTGGCCAAACCCTTTATTCGATCAAATGTCGCCAACACTTGTTGGCGAAAACTTGCTCCTTTTTTTTTTTTTTTGCTTCATTGTTGCG